AGGAGCCGCTGATTTTGCGCCCAAGGAGTTCAGGCCAGCTACGAGCTACTAGTGAATGTCCTGTGGATGTGGACCTGTCGATGTTGCAGGCAGAATTGTCGCGGCGCGAAAGGCTATTATACTCAGGGAAACAGACTGGTTGGCCAACTTAGAGACTGGATACTCTGGAGTTCTAGGCGGCTTCGCTTTCATCCCGAATCGTACGGATTACTGCTCCACGTTACGGCTCCTAGGTGCTTCTTCTCTGTCCACTTTTCCTCAGACTGAACTTCTTTACGGATGGATCGAAACTAGGCGGTAGGGTTGGTGGCGGGGTCTTCTGTCGAGAGCCTTCCATCAGCACTAAGTTCAGGCTCCCGGACTTCTTCAGTGTATTCCAGGCGGAAGTAGCTGCTATCAAGGAGGAGGTGGACTCACTGCTAAGGAGAGTTATAACAGTCAGGGAAGTGAACGTATATTCTGATAGCCAAGCGGCTATCAGCGCCTTGAGTTCGTTAGAGTTGCGCTCTAACTTGGTTAAGGAATGTCTGCTCTCTCTTTCGGCCGTGTCGGAATACTTCTGCATTAGGCTTATTTGAGTTGAGTTTGTTTATCATTCGAAACTAAACATTTTCTAAAATTATTTTTCGTCTGCCAATTTTGGAACTGGTTCGGAACTAAAAAATAAAAAAGGTTAATAAATATTTACCATTGAAATATTACAACAGTGCAAAGTACCATTTCTTTGAGCAAATACTTTCTTAGATTTTTAAAAAATAATACTAAGAAATTTTCTTTGAACCGTATTTTTAAAATTTGCTTTGTTGGCGTACTGCTTGCGTACTCTGAGGTAGAAAATATAAACAATTTTTAAGTTTTCTTATCTTAAACTGCTCACTTCCAAAGCTACGAGGACACTTATAGTATGTAAACGTCTAGCAGGGAAGACTTGGGGCTGTAGTATCAAGATCCTGTGATGAATGTATACTATGATAGTTAGACCAATAGTTACTTAAGGGGCAGTGGCTTGGGTCTCACCAAGCTTCAACGTCTGGCGTGTATATACATTACGGGGGCAATGCGCACATGCCCGACGCCAGGGCTAGAGTTGATTATCGAGCTCTAGCCGCTACACCTTACCATAGAACAGATAGCAAAGCAAACTCTACTAAACTCCACGAGAGAAGGCTTTGGCAGAGGCATAACCCTATCACCAAGGAACAGATATGTACAAGCTAGGCTCCCAAATTCGATTAGTTTTGCTCCCCATAGGCACAAGTTGGTTAGTTTTGATAGGAAATTCAAAATAGAGCTTTGCATCAAATCAACTTGGAGCACCTCTCTTATGGAGAGGTACATACAGGAGAGCTCGATGCAATTCTATACAGACGACTCCAAAACTCCGGACGGCGTGTACGGAACAAGGCTAAAGCTCTGGGTACCCATGGAAGCATACCCGAGTATCTTTCAAGCGGAGGTCTATGCCCTTAGTCTGTGTGCAGAGAATAACGTAATAAGAAAAGAAATGATCGTAATAAGAAAATTTTAATATTTAGTGATAGCCAGGCAGCACTGGAGGCCCTCTAATCATTTGAGGTCACGACATCTTTGGTTCTTGAGTGCATTGATAAGCTCAACATCCTAGCGGAGTAAAATACCATCCAATTAACTTGGGTACCTGGTTACATAGGAGTTGCTGGCAACGAGGAAGCGGACCGACTAGCTAGAACGGCAGCCGCCTCGTCGCCTTTAGGTCTACGTCAGGCTAAATGCCTAACGGGAGGCCGCAACTTTACAAGGTACAGAGAGAAGGTGTAAGCCTCCCCAAAAGAAGTCTAAGGAAAATAACAGGTTTTCTGACGGGCTACTGTAGACTGAGAGGTCACCTGCACAAGCTAGTCATCTGGGCAAATGATCTATATCGTTTCTGCGATGTGAATCAGGAGACTCCTGTGAACCCACTTCGCGAGTGCGAGGCGGTTGCGAAAAGACGGGTCGGGTAACTAGGCCAACACCGGCCAAGTGAAGAATTGATACAATCGCTAACCCCAGGAGATCTTCTCAAATTTGTGGGTTCCCTAGGATTAGATGAGGTACTGTAAATGGTTGAGGGCACAATAGATTCTTGGTCGCAATGCATACCTCTATTTCAATCTATCTATCCTAAACTGAAATTCTTTTTGCACATATTGAAGTTATGTGGCCGTTAGTTGGCCTGATAGATGCTATTTTGTGTTTTTACGAGAATGATTTAAAAAGTTGTTTACAGAAAATCGGTTTGCGGAACTTATAGATTTTTTTTTTAAATAAATATACTGACTACTTTTTAACTTCAATTTTCATAGCGTATAGCATTTTCTAACCTGTTTTAAAAACTTTATTGAATTGAATTTAGCTTCACTTTGTTTGGAACTATCGAAAAAGGGTTGCAGCGGGGGGAAATTGACACTTCCTAGGACATCGCCATGTTAAATTCGCCAGGTTTTTGCATGCAAAAGAGATTTATCGCAAACCAATACTGGGTCTAAATGTACTAGAAGCGCACCAGTTCAAAACTAGAGATTTTCCCCACAGGGTACATACAACTATAGAAAATATGGTTTTATGAGTTGAAAATTCGAACGAAAAAACTAGCTAAAGTCCAAATTTTTAATAACATGAAACTATTTAAAATTTTTTTGTTTTTCGTTTCGTAAAATATACTGTTCTGAAATAAATCATTGCTTTTTGCTTTTTTTTTGGCTCTTTTTGTCTTTTCTGCGATTTGTAGTGCCTTTTTCTGCCTATTTACCTATTTGATATTGCCCTTTTTATGGGGTTTTAGTCGTAAAAACTTGTTCCCTGCTAATAAATAAGTAATAGGCAAGTGAGTAAAAAGTTCCGCATACGACTAGGTGGTCCATCAATATGTTGGTGCTTATGAAAGAAATTATCTACTGTAATTGTTTTACATAAATTGATAATTTTATATGCGCAATAGCCCTCACTGAACTCAATGCTTGTCATTTAGCCATCTAGTCAAAGAAACTCCTACTCACTCACTACTTTCTCGGGAAGACCGACTAGAGTGTGCCCTCTCATACGCCACGCAGTATACTACAATATCAGTTTAGAACCCATTTAAGTTTTACTAGATAATTAGTAAAAGATGGTAGGCGTTTTCCAACTTTGTAGATTTGAGCACAAAGCATTTATTGTTGCTTGGATATAGGATTAGTTAGATAATATTTACCAATCTTGAAAAAATCAGAAAATCCACTGTCGACTTAATATCACATACCGCTGAATGGAAAACACTAAAGTTATCTGATAACTTAAATTTTAGAGCTAAGAAGAGTTTTCAACCATAGACGCCTTCGCCGACCTTTGGGTAAAGCTTCGACGCCTCCATGTAAAAGCTCACCGGTTCCTTCTTATAACAACAGTCTGTCGACCATCCACCCCAAGAGAGAATGAGAATGCGTTAAAAGCTAATTGGCGTATGTCTAGACTGCAGTGATCCGTGTTATAAGGGATAAGCCCAAGGCTCCAAGTATATGAAAGTGCCCTGATTGTGAATCTGCTAAGCTCCTAAGTCTGACTGCAACCCTTTCTGCAGGAGTACAAAGCAAGACAACCCTTAGATAGGTTCGTATGGTCATAAAAATGTGCTCTGCGAAAAATTTAAAAATTGCAAAACGGAAAGAGTTTTACATACAATGGAAGACAGAGCCATAAATAAGTAAAAATAGCTTATTTGTTTCGTATAAATTAATGGATTTTTCACGCTGATCTTAAATATAGCTACGCAATTTTCATATCAGGTCAGGCTTGAAAGTTATAGAGCATTTTTTGCATATGAGGCACGCCTATTGAAGATGAGTATTGCTTTGTGGATCATCGTTGAAGAGTAAGGCGCACCCTAATGTGAGAACAACGAAAGCAAGGGCGCCCACGATAACAATGCCTATAAAAAAACGAAAGTGCTGATTTCTTTCCGTTGCGTATAACTTTTAATCTTCAAATCTTAAGATTTTATGTATAAAATTAGTACAATTAATTAAATACAATTTGAATTATGTACGCACATACTTCAGAGACTTATTATACAACATATAATTGCATCTACATACATAATTAAATGTTGTATGGGGAGATCTCAAATCAGTGAACTACCAATCAATTCAATGACTCGATAAACGAAACTCAGCTGTTGTCTAAGTATGTAGCTAATACGAAATAAACATAACAATAACTATATAAAATTCTCTTATACAACACAAACCAGTTAATTCCGCGCTCTCCTATGATCACACTATTTTTGCTCTCTGAGCTATGAATACGCGCTCGCATGCACATTTTTTGTTTTAACAATTTGTCCCACAGTACATCAAAACAAACTCACCTGGTGCGCACACTGCACACACACAACTTGCTTAGCGGCTTAAAATAGCCATTAGGGTTGTTGTTGAGCCTGGCTTTGAGTATGAGTCTGATATCGCAGCTGGGCGGCCGGCAAAGCACAACAAGCGATCACTGCTGCTGCTGTTGCTGCACAAAGAGAGTTAAAAAAAACTCTGCTACGACTACGTTTAAAAATATAAATATCACTCGCTCTCCGTCAATTAGCTTTACTGTTTCTTGTCAGGTCACTCTCGTTCTCGACAGTGGTTAAAAGCAAAATATTATTCGCATACGAGCAAATCACCTGTATAAAAAATGGAAAAGGTGAGCAGCAACAACAACAACAACCACTAAACTACCGCAGCGGACCAGCAGAAGCGACCACTTTTGGAGTCAACACGAAGAAGAAGTAACAGTGAACCAGCCATACAGGCAGGCAGTCAAGCAGCCAGGCAGGCAGGCATCGTAATGGCAACACCAACAACCACACACAGGCTGGTATGGATTACATGTTTGTATGTATGTTGGTGATACGGTGACGGCAGGTAAGCAAAAGGCAACAGCAGCAAGCAACACACGGCAAAGTGAGGTTCGTCTGCGCCAAAGCACTGCTGTCCAATCAGTCTGAACTCGGTTACCGACAGCGATGAAACAAACGGCGACGCTTGAGCGGCTCACTATTTCGGCATTTTAAGTAGTTAGTTGTGGACTCGTTGGTTGGTTCTTCTTCGCATGTTCATTTCCTGATCGCGTCGCGTACATACTTATACCTTTAACGCGTTACTAACGATACTACGACGAGTACTGGTCCAATGACAGTGGACTTGTGGTAGCATTACCTTTTCCCTAAAAGAAAAAAAAGTATTTTTATGCAATTTTTTGGGCCACCGTTTTTGTTACGTCTGCCGCATGCGCAAGCCGTCGCGAAATGAAACATTAATAATAATTAATTTTAAGCAAAATTCGTTCAATATGCGTGACTGCATGCAAAAATAAAGAAAGTGAGAATTTTGCATATTAACAAAAAAATTAAAAATAAAAAATATAGAAAAGAATTAAGAAAAAAATATTTACTTTAAGCAAACGATTTGAAATGTGCAAAGTAATAAAGTAAGCGGAGGAAAAGTTTAATGAAGATTTGTATACACAGATGTGCATTGGCGTGGGCGAGCATAAGAGGGCAGACTTTGAGCCGTCGCTAAATACGTACGTAACGTAAAGAAGTAAATATGTTTGAGAAAACAAGTTACAAAAAAAAAAATCGTTTGCAAGTATAATTGAATATGCAAAGAAATAAGAAAATAAATATTTGTGTGAAAACTTATGAAAGTTAGTAAATGCAGTATAAGCTGACAACAAATAAATAAATGAAAGGTACTTGGATAGTTAAGAAAGAATGCGGTAAAAAAAAAATGATTTAAAGTAAATACGAAATAATTTAATGTAAACTAACGATTTTTCCGGCAAAAAAAGGTGCCTTAAGAAAAGTGCCTTATATATAATTTACTTATGCATAAAGAAAAAATTTTAACTAACTAAACAGTGATTTCATACGGAAATAAATACATATCTATATTTATATCTAAGCAACTAAGTGCCATTCGCGCATGCCTTTCATTGGTAGAAGTAAACGGTGACTTAACAACTATTTCCTAGTGTTAAATAATTAATATTTAAAAAAATACAAATAAATAGTAAAATCCAAATAAAAAAGATTTTTATTTAATAAAGTGGCAGCTAGCTGCTACGCTAAGAAGGCAAACGCGAGGAAAGTTTGTAGAAAAGTGTCTTAAATGCATACGGATATTATAATTGGCGATCAATTTGTGCCATCAGCAAATTATTGGGTAATGCAGGTGAGTGGAATCAAAAACAAAAAAAAAAAAGTGTTAAACAATTAAATTAAGAAAATCCAACTATCCCCGTAGCCGAGTGGTTAAAGGTGCGTACTTTCACTTGGTAGAACCCGGGTAAGAGCTCTGGTTTGCGCAACATTCAAAAATTATAGCAAAACACTTTTTTTAGTGGTCACGGCCCGGCAGGCAACGCTGAAATTCCGAGTGTATTTATGCCATGAAAAATCTTCTAATAAAAACTATTTGCCGCTTGGAGTTGGCGTAAAATTGTAGGCTCTTCCAGTTTGCGTGACAAAACTAATAAACAAATACATATTTTTTTTTATTGATGTTAAAAATATTATTAGGCTCTAGACGTTCGAAATTTAAAATCCAAACAAAAAAAATCAAAAAAAATAAAAAATTCTGTGAAAAAATCAAAGAAGTCATTTTTGAGAAAAAAAACCGACCGACTTCAATGCTCATATACAAATTTAGGCGTACCGTTAGTTTCTTCATAATCCAATGAACGCAACTAGACGAAGTTAGTATGCGATCACCCTTGAGGTACCAACTTTCCGATAAAAAAAAATTTATCGAAAACGATGCACGTGGCACAAAGTTATACGCTATTATACATAATAAAAAAATATTCTGCCGAATTGATAGCCTCCTCCTTTTTTTGTAGTCGTTCAAAACTCCAAAAAAAAATTTATTTATTATCAAGGCAAATAAAACGATAGTAAAATATTAGCCCTAACTACTTTATAAAAAAAATAATTTTTCCAGTTTCAGTTTAATTATAGAATCTTCGTAAGATTTTACAAATTTTTAAGTTGAAATGTGTGCGTATGCATACTCCGTAAATTTTTGTTTAACGTGTCTGGTTTCGATGTAATTGTTATTACGCAACCAGTACCTACTAGTACCCTCTTTATGAAGGGTTTCGTTTTTTTGTGTGGTAAGTTTTATTAGCATGCCGACAAAAAGTTTAACGCCCAAGTTGCACAGCCTCCTGGCATGCGCGTCGATAGGCCATTGCCCCGTAAGAACCCCTACTATGTAGCCTCACAACGCCTGTTGTTGTTTTTTTTTAGCAGATTGTGTGTCCTTTTAGTGTTGTACCTAGGCAAAATGATTTTGGATATAGATTCTGAAAATTGCGGAGAGATAATTTCATGTGGTCACAGTTCTCTGTTGAGGCAAATTTGGAGCCACCTGTATGTACATCACTTCGAACTGATCACTAAATTTTATTGAAAAGAGTTCGGCACTTCACCATCAATCAACTTTGTTGTAAAGGAATACCAGGCCCAGTTCTCTGAGTTTTATATTTAACACCAGAAAGACTAAAGGACCGTAATAAAATATTTCATAGAACATAAATATTTTTTTCCAGAACTATTGCGTTTGAATCGTTTTCGTTTCATGAATTTCAATAATTTTTTCGTTATTCTGTTGTATTTATATTGACTGCTGGATAGATGTTTATGAAAAATTATTACCTATCTTGAATGACTGCGCTAGTCATTGTTTTCGTTTGGGTAGCCAAAATCGCTAAGACGGTTACAGCGCCCATAAAAAAAGAAAGAAAAAGAATACTTTTTTTAATAAATTTAAAAATTACAATAAAAACTCTAATTAAAAAAATTAATTAAGAATAAAAAACTAAACAAAAATGAAATAAAAAAAATTTTACTGCATCAGCACTTGAACCTAGGACCTCAGGCATAACACGCGAGTGCTTTGTTTAAAATGTAAGCGCAGTGCCGTAGATATCTCGATTTTAGCTCTTGCCCTGTAGGGAAAGCCCGAACTGGTGAGCCAAATTTATAGTTCCGTACTAGATCTTTATCGCCAAAAACGAATCAGTCGGATATTAACTAAATCGCCACCAGTTCAAAAGCAGTGAGATGTGGTACTTTTTATAAACAATTTTATTGTTAGAAATCTATATCTAAAATAACGAATTTATGCAAAACGAACTAGATCTCATCTGGCGAATTTTGAACTAGTTCGGAACTACCGAAAAAGGGATGCAGCGGGCGGCTTGTTTACTTTAAAAAGATTTTTGCTTGGCAGGTTTTTCGTTCAAATACGCTTTCAGTCTGCGCTTCGCAGATGCTTTTTCATAGTTTGGTCATACAAAACTAAAATTTGTGTTAACATTTTAACATTTTGGGACCTTCTGGAATCTAATCAATAACAGCAAGCTCCTCTGCAAATTCAACTACCCCAATTGGTTTACATTCCTTCAAGAAAAGAAGAAGAAATTTATAAAGTTTAGTAGCTTTATAAATCGAAAATTTATATGAAAATGTCACTTAATAGAGCTGTTAAAAATCTACTTTATTTTATATGAATAAGGCCGTAGGTTTTTAGATTTTTGCTTCTGCTTCATTAGACATAAAAGCATTCATTAAAATCCAATTAGCCATTCATTTGAATCCTTTTCTAAATATTTTATAGAACTCAAAATCTCGTTATTTTGTGCTAGTTTGAATTGAATATTTTGGTGGTATATCAATAAGCTTTTGGCCGACTTTAACGTTTCTACCGGCGGCAAACTACAAACTTAGTACAAAATAAATGCCGGACCATTTAAAACATATTTAAAAGAATATAATCGTAAAAATAATAAAGCACAAACCGGTACTGTCCTATCCTATGTGGTTTTGGAAAGTTTAGTCAACTAAAGGTTAATGATTCATTAAATCACGCATACCCAATAAAAAGTTTAATTGCATTTCGCGAACAGTTTCTTTTTTACCAATTTAATAGTCGCCATAAAACAGTGATTATTTTATATCTGCAACAATTAGTAGATAGTACTTTTGGCTAATTGAAAGTAAAAGTATTGATTGGAACATTCTTTGTTACGTAGTCAAAATATTATTTCTTAGACGGATCATAAAATTAATAAGGCCTTATAAAGTGCTAAGTGGGAAGAAGGGGGAGTAAGTAAATGATTTTATTTACTCACATAGCTTTTATGGTTGGAATATTTTAGTTTTATTGATAAAGAAATTTTTTATTAGTAATCAGCCGGGGGTGTTGATATTGAGAGTGATGAAAGAAAAATTGCTGCGGGTTATTGATTTGTCGAAGAATTTTAATAAGTACATATGTTTGCTTATCGAAGAAAGATAAAGTTTTTTTTTTCTGGTACCAGCGCATTTTTGTATATATATGTATATATATATATTTTTTTAATTCCTGTTAATATGTCGGCGTAGTCCAGCGAATATTACGCACATATTTCTGAAAAAAAGAAAGATATTTTTCTCTTGCCGCATTCGCTTCTTCGCGCTGAAATTCAAAGCCGTCGGCAAAACATTAATCAATTTGTAGGTGTTAGTGTTATCGCTTGTCAACTCAAATCAACACCTTTAGTATCTACTGTTGCCAAGCAGGACCTATTTGTAAGCAGGTAAACGTACAAGCACACGCACACCAATTTTCATACGATACACACGAAAACACTTCTCACCAACAGCAAAAAAAAAGTGCAGCGATCTTTCTAGCTGACTTACACTTCGAACCCTTTCGATTCCCAATGCGCAAGGCCAAGTCGAAAGGGCTACGAACAAAACAGCGCCACTACCAGCGAGTGCAGTGCACTGTAGGTACAGCTGAGCGAAAAAATAAAATAAAAAATAAAGTAAAAATCGTAGCAAGGCAAAAAAGCGAGCCGTATTTCCTCCATAGTTGACGACGAGTCATAAAAAGCCATAAGTACGCAACTTGTTTATTTACACGCATTGCATTTGCTTGCGCAGTTTTGTGGCAATGTTTGTCAGTTGGCAACTTGTCTGTCCGATTGGACGTGCCGACGTGCCGACGGATGGTCACTGGTGCTTGGCTGTCTGGGACTGCTGCATCGGCGCAACTACGACTATGCGAGCGCAGCAAAACGGCAGCTACAAACTTCGTTTTTCATCATCCGCAGAATGTGCAGAGTTCTTCTTGGTTTGGTCGCTTTTGTATTTTTTTTTTGTTTTAACTATTGCACCTTTGTCACACTTGTCATATTAATACCTCTTTAAAGTGTGCAGCCCTGCGCTGCGCTGCACATCTGTGCTGTTGCCGTTGCTGCAACGGACATCCTTTTATTGTTGCATCAACAAAGTTTTTTGTTTGTTGTACTGCATTATTTATTTATTCTCTAACTTTGTTGTTGTCGCTTTGCTGTTTTCGAAATGAGGTGCGAAAGCGGTAACAACAGCGAACACAACCAGAAAACCAAGCGAAATATGCAAGCTTGCAAGTGTAAGTAATGCTGTGGCTCGGAAAAAGTGTAAGATTTAAAAGTGTTAATATTTCATTTACTTATCGCGCTTGTTAAGTATTTTCCTGTGACAAAAGGCACTTAATTATTTATTTTAAATAATATTGCGCGTAAATACCCAAGCAAGCACGTGTAAATATGTACATTAATGCATATATGTGTATGTATTGTCACATATAGGGCATGTACTATGTATTTAAGATCACGTGATGACGCTTTTGGCTGAACAAATATTTATTTAAACAAATTTTTGATGTTTTCTTTAAGATAAAATTCGACCGGAAGTTGAAGTGCAAATGAATTTGCTCAGATCGAAAGTTTTCTTGGAAGGCGATTTTTTTCTTTCTTTCCGGTTTTTGTTTAAGGTAAAAAAAATAAATATTCAATTACAGTTTACCGCGGGCTTATATTCAATAACCTCTATCTGAAATTCTAACAAAAAATATTTTGTGATGTTAGAGCCCAGCTTCTGTCAGGCGTTATACAAAGTCAGCATATATAAAACCGATGACAGTTAAGCCTCAGGTGGATTTTTATATCAGAATCTAATTTTTATGAAGAGTGCAGATAGAGGGTATTGAATATAAGCACCCGATACACAGCACTGAGCGAAAAATTTTAATTAAAAATTTATTTAAATTTTCTATTTTTTAAGGTGTAGATATTGACGATTGTCTATAGGGTTATTGACTCGGTTTTTCTAAACCGGTTTCCAGTTTCTTTTTTAGTTATC